GACCATGTATTATTCTCTATTTATCAACCATTTTCTCATCAAATTAAACTGTCGAAAACTTAACAAGTATTGCGAATCTGCCGCGTCAGTTTTGATTATTGCGAGGAAATTTTTTATTTGAGGATAAATTCTTAAAGTAAGTTTTAACGAAATTAAACAAACTTATTTTTTGCTGAATTAAGAAAAAATATGCAGTTCTTTTCGTTCAGAAAATAAAAAAAATGCATTGCACATAAAATATAGCTGTGGCATCTTCAAGTGACATTTTTACTTATTGTAACTTGTAGGGGTATGTCTGAACAACTGGTTGTACTTTCACGGCTCATGCTATCGCGTCTTTAACACGAAACTGAACTGGGTTGAAGCAAAAGCAGCTTGTGAGAGACTGGGATCCACTCTTGCCACGGTGAAATCACAAGCTGAGGGACAAGCACTCTCCCCCATAGTATCGGAAGCCGTTTGGATAGGATTGTACAGAGACAATGCTACCACACCTTGGGTATGGGTCGACGGAACACAGGCTGAATACGTTAACTGGGATAAATATGAACCCAGCCACCAGGGAAAAAATAAGGAGCTCTGTGTAATGATGTTTTCTGCGAAAAAAGCAATGAAATGGAATAACGGGCAATGTAAGGGCCATAAGCCCCTTTACGTCTGTGAAGTCTCTGGTAGGTAAAAGTATCATGCAATGGTTGACATTTCGTGGCTACTCTGTAAAGAAAGATGTCCTTAAGCTCTAAATTGAGGCTGTTTAGGTGCGTCTAATACAGTCCTGTTTTTTGGGTCTAATTTGGCTTCCTTAGTGAAGGCTAATATAGTCCAGTTATCTAGGGCTGATTTAGACCCAGAGGCTGAAATGAGTCTCAGCGTGGGCTGGAATAGGCTATTGATGAGGCTGTTTTTGCCTAAATTGTGCTCTATGGCTCCAGAAGAGACTGAATCAGACATTGACCTGTAGGGCTGAATTGGCACTTTGGGGCTGAAACAAATCTTTTTAATTTTCACTGTGGACTACTTAAAATTCCATCTTAAAAAGGTGTTGTATTCTATGTTATTACATGGTGTTGATGTGAAATAGAAGCCGTCAGCAGATGATCATTAATTTTGAATTTTTCCTTCTTCATTTCTCATAAGAGTAAGAAAATTGCTACAGGACAACAAATGCTAAAATCGCTCGGACAAAAATGATGAAGAAAAGTCACTTATTTTACTGTTATCTGTTAAGCGCGCGCAGAACCAAGTCAATTTCTGGGTCAAATCGATCTTTTTTTTCTAATTTAAATATATTTATTGATAATCACATTAAATAATTACACTTACAATACTACAAAAAAGACACTCTAACAATAGACATTAACAGAGAAAAGCAAAATTAATTGTTAAATTATTACAGGGCTAAAAAAAAAATAGAAAAAGTACAACAGGGCAATGAAATATGACGGAGTTAAGACAGTTTACTTAAATAAGGCGTCAGTATCCACTTTCTTTTAAAGAATTCTTTGTTGCTGATTTTTTCTTCTGTTTCATATTTAGCGATGATCTTCGTCCTAAATCCATAAATGTTTGGAAGGATTTATTTGCTCCTACAGTCCCACAAATAGAGTTTTCCAATAATTGTAAAATAGTTCAGCAATTGAAGTAAAGGGCAAGCATTTTCCGTCAAAAATTCCAAAGAGCACATTTTCCAAGCAGAGACGAATTCGTTAATTCGAAATAAGGCACCAATATAATTCAAATTCAATTACTGTTATCTCAGTGTTAAGTGCGCGCAGAACCAAGTCAATTTCTGGGTCAAATCGATCTTGCTATGCCAAAATTGTGGTGAACACTTAGAAAGAGCACATGTTTTCACTTCAGAATCGTCAGTTGAGTCACTAAATTGAGCCAGGACTCCTGATTGAGCATAGTTTAGAGGGCGAGCTCTTGGTCGGTTATGTAATCTATACTGAATCACAAGCAAATGATCAATTGGCATCTACCTTAATACACCTTATTACGGTCTTATTGTTTCAGCCAGATTTAAAGACATCACAACTTCTTTTCCGCAAACATCATTTCTTAAGACTAAGACTTCATGTTCCAGCACTGATCGTATAAACAGAGTCCCCCAGTACGTGGAGCAATGTGTTTTCATATCACTCTCAAACAGAGAATCTAAGTCTCTCAGCTAATAAATTGTACCTCCATTCGTTTTGGCAATTCATGGGCAGTTTCATCTTTACTAAAGCAAAGTATAACCGAGAAAGACGTAGCCTCATAATAAAGACAAACTAATCAGTTTTAATCATTAACTTTTTTTCATTGATATCTGCAGCTTTTTTCCTTCCTTCGCCAAATATTACGAGACTGGTATTTGAAAACTGTGGATTTACCTTGACATGGGAGCGATACACACAAAAAGATATTCTCACTGCTGGATATCAAGTAAAACTTGTTTCTGTCAAGAGTGGTTCAGATAAAGTCACTAACGTTTCCAGTGACACTCAAAGTTACACGTTTTCATCTGATCTAATTCCCAATTCTGCTTATGCAGTAAGTGTCAGGGCAATAACAAATGTTGGATACAGTTATGGAATTTATCTTCTCGTGTTCACATTCGATATCTCACTCGTTCGCTGCGCTCACTCGTTCGATATCGATGTGAACACTCGAAGATAAATTCCATATCTCCGCGCGACCATGTATTATTCTCTATTTATCAACCATTTTCTCATCAAATTAAACTGTCGAAAACTTAACAAGTATTGCGAATCTGCCGCGTCAGTTTTGATTATTGCGAGGAAATTTTTTATTTGAGGATAAATTCTTAAAGTAAGTTTTAACGAAATTAAACAAACTTATTTTTTGCTGAATTAAGAAAAAATATGCAGTTCTTTTCGTTCAGAAAATAAAAAAAATGCATTGCACATAAAATATAGCTGTGGCATCTTCAAGTGACATTTTTACTTATTGTAACTTGTAGGGGTATGTCTGAACAACTGGTTGTACTTTCATGGCTCATGCTATCGCGTCTTTAACACGAAACTGAACTGGGTTGAAGCAAAAGCAGCTTGTGAGAGACTGGGATCCACTCTTGCCACGGTGAAATCACAAGCTGAGGGACAAGCACTCTCCCCCATAGTATCGGAAGCCGTTTGGATAGGATTGTACAGAGACAATGCTACCACACCTTGGGTATGGGTCGACGGAACACAGGCTGAATACGTTAACTGGGATAAATATGAACCCAGCCACCAGGGAAAAAATAAGGAGCTCTGTGTAATGATGTTTTCTGCGAAAAAAGCAATGAAATGGAATAACGGGCAATGTAAGGGCCATAAGCCCCTTTACGTCTGTGAAGTCTCTGGTAGGTAAAAGTATCATGCAATGGTTGACATTTCGTGGCTACTCTGCAAAGAAAGATGTCCTTAAGCTCTAAATTGAGGCTGTTTAGGTGCGTCTAATACAGTCCTGTTTTTTGGGTCTAATTTGGCTTCCTTAGTGAAGGCTAATATAGTCCAGTTATCTAGGGCTGATTTAGACCCAGAGGCTGAAATGAGTCTCAGCGTGGGCTGGAATAGGCTATTGATGAGGCTGTTTTTGCCTAAATTGTGCTCTATGGCTCCAGAAGAGATTGAATCAGACATTGACCTGTAGGGCTGAATTGGCACTTTGGGGCTGAAACAAATCTTTTTAATTTTCACTGTGGACTACTTAAAATTCCATCATAAAAAGGTATTGTATTCTATGTTATTACATGGTGTTGATGTGAAATAGAAGCCGTCAGCAGATGATCATTAATTTTGAATTTTTCCTGCTTCATTTCTCATAAGAGTAAGAAAATTGCTACAGGACAACAAATGCTAAAATCGCTCGGACAAAAATGATGAAGAAAAGTCATAACTTATTTTACTGTTATCTGTTAAGCGCGCGCAGAACCAAGTCAATTTCTGGGTCAAATCGATCTTTTTTTTCTAATTTAAATATATTTATTGATAATCACATTAAATAATTACACTTACAATACTACAAAAAAGACACTCTAACAATAGACATTAACAGAGAAAAGCAAAATTAATTGTTAAATTATTACAGGGCTAAAAAAAAATTAGAAAAAGTACAACAGGGCAATGAAATATGACGGAGTTAAGACAGTTTACTTAAATAAGGCGTCAGTATCCACTTTCTTTTAAAGAATTCTTTGTTGCTGATTTTTTCTTCTGTTTCATATTTAGCGATGATCTTCGTCCTAAATCCATAAATGTTTGGAAGGATTTATTTGCTCCTACAGTCCCACAAATAGAGTTTTCCAATAATTGTAAAATAGTTCAGCAATTGAAGTAAAGGGCAAGCATTTTCCGTCAAAAATTCCAAAGAGCACATTTTCCAAGCAGAGACGAATTCGTTAATTCGAAATAAGGCACCAATATAATTCAAATTCAATTACTGTTATCTCAGTGTTAAGTGCGCGCAGAACCAAGTCAATTTCTGGGTCAAATCGATCTTGCTATGCCAAAATTGTGGTGAACACTTAGAAGGAGCACATGTTTTCACTTCAGAATCGTCAGTTGAGTCACTAAATTGAGCCAGGACTCCTGATTGAGCATAGTTTAGAGGGCGAGCTCTTGGTCGGTTATGTAATCTATACTGAATCACAAGCAAATGATCAATTGGCATCTACCTTAATACACCTTATTACGGTCTTATTGTTTCAGCCAGATTTAAAGACATCACAACTTCTTTTCCGCAAACATCATTTCTTAAGACTAAGACTTCATGTTCCAGCACTGATTGTATAAACAGAGTCCCCCAGTACGTGGAGCAATGTGTTTTCATATCACTCTCAAACAGAGAATCTAAGTCTCTCAGCTAATAAATTGTACCTCCATTCGTTTTGGCAATTCATGGGCAGTTTCATCTTTACTAGAGCAAAGTATAACCGAGAAAGACGTAGCCTCATAATAAAGACAAACTAATCAGTTTTAATCATTAACTTTTTTTCATTGATATCTGCAGCTTTTTTCCTTCCTTCGCCAAATATTACGAGACTGGTATTTGAAAACTGTGGATTTACCTTGACATGGGAGCGATACACACAAAAAGATATTCTCACTGCTGGATATCAAGTAAAACTTGTTTCTGTCAAGAGTGGTTCAGATAAAGTCACTAACGTTTCCAGTGACACTCAAAGTTACACGTTTTCATCTGATCTAATTCCCAATTCTGCTTATGCAGTAAGTGTCAGGGCAATAACAAATGTTGGATACAGTAACTGGACTGAAAATCAACTGAAAGCGTCTGCAGGTAATTCTTTCTGTATTATATTTGTTCGTTCGTTCATACGTGCATTCAGTCATTCATTAATAATACGTAAAAATACATTTATCGCAGAACCTCGCGAGGTTTGGGGGAGGGAGGCGTGTGTTCGTCATTAATTAACAGTTAATGAATGAGGCTGAGTATCTTGTGAAGAATTATGGAGATCGAGGAAGGTGTTATCCGTCGAGGCCGTAGGCCGAGGCGGATAACACCCTCCGAGATCTCCATAATTCTTCATATGATACGAAAGCCGAATTCAATAACTGTTTTATTATTCATTCAAAATAATTCCTAGTTTAAAAACATAGCTAAAACATGCTTACCTCCATCGATCCATCGATGTTCAGTTCATCTTCGATAGTGTACGTTCAGGTTTATCCAGCTCCGCAAATATTCTCCAAATAGCAGATGTCGCCCTTCGAGTTGTCTTCTTGCTGTTCTTGCCATGTTTTTAGCTATTTTTTCGCCTAGTTCTTACTCTTGAAAAGAGTGAAATGTCCGCCATTTTTTCAAGTTCACAACCAAAACAACTCAACCTCGTCCCCATGTCTTCTCGGTTAACGGTGCCTTAACCTGCGAAAACGCTGCATTTTTGACGTCATTTCCTCGTTAAAGTCAAAATTCTTTCAAACTTGGTCATCAGTAACTGGTTATGGTAAATTAAACGTGTGCTTTTAGCCAATCAGAATCGGGGAAATATTTTGAATGAATAATAATAATAATTTATTCATTCGTTGAAAATGTAACCTGCATTGAGTAGCAGTGGCCTGAAAATTGGCGTTGTTGCTGATTTACACATGCGCATTCCTTTTCTGAAAGTTATATCGCTCTTGCTTCCTTCAGTGTCTAGTATTTATTTTAATTGATCAACAAAAGGAGAAAGCTCAGTAATCAGGTCTGTTAAAATGAGTAGAAAATCAATAATTCTAAATCAATAATTTTCAAACCAATATGCTTACAGATATCCCTGACAAGCCAGTTATTAAACAAATTACGTTAAAGGGATGCGTGGCTTCTCTGCAGTGGACTGGGCCGACGCCCAGGGAATGCTCAGTCCTCTTCTACAAGATTCGCTACAAGGAAGAGAAAGCAACTAAAAGCGAGTGGAATGAGATAAACGTCACAGACCTAGACGCCAATAAGCTCGAGCTGACTTTGAAGTGTGTTACAACATATGAGATTGAAGTTTTAGCGTGGAATGCCCTGGGATGGAGTCTTCCCTCTACTGTGCGATCAGTAACAACGGAAGAGGGCCGGAGTGTTTTTAAATCCCATAAAAGTTTGTAAAATTTTAAACTTCTATATATTTTAATGGTTTTTAAACGGAATAGTTCCGCTGATACTTACTTCAAGAATTTAACATTATAAATACAAGTACTACGAGTAATAGAGTAGGCCGGTTAATATAACAGAATTCACTATAGCTAGTGTTTTGTTCTAATTCATTTTCACTTTCTCTAAATCGAAACGTCTTAACTTTATTCAACTCTAACAGTGTCAAAATGGCAAATTACCTAGATTAACTATCAACATAGTTAAAATATCAAACTGAAAACAGGTATAGAGGCTCAATGGCCGACATGATCATGAGTACTATTGACCGTCTAGAACTGTCTTTTTTAGACTATTTCAGTCACTCTGTACGGGATAGCTTTTGCGCAGGCGCGAAACCATACAGGGCTTCTGTTCACACATAAGAACAGTGAATTCCGCTCGATTTCTGTGACGGGACCCCGGGGGTACTTGATATATCCTTGGGTGGGGAGGTGCGGCCCGGCCCCTCATACCCTGACCCTGTTTAAGACAAAAATCGCTGATTTTCCTACTCTGTTTAAGACAGAATTCCGATTTTTGAAACCATACCCTGTGTGAGACAATAATAAATTTCGAAACTCTTTCTTATTTAATCCATTGACAATCACAAAAATATTTACAGCTTGATCAACAGAGTCACGCAGGCTGTTTATTGTCCAAGAAAAGATACCCTGTTTAAGACAAAAATAGATAAAATCGATGCCCTGATTTAGACAAAAATGATAAAATCGATACCCTGTTTAAGACAAAAGTCCCGAAAAAACATACCCTGACTGGCCGCACGTCCCCATTAAGCTCTTATAAGGGAGTACCTCCCCGGAGGACGGAACGAAGATGCATCGCGTCAATCTGTAAAGTGGAGAGTCACATATCAGATAGGTGTTCGTACTATAACGGATGGCCTTTCGTGTTGGCACGAAAAGCTGTCCGGAAGAATGTAAACACAGCGCCTGAGTGAGTGAGTGAGCGAGCGAGCGAGAGAGTGAGTGAATGAGCGAGTGAGAGTTGTCGTTGATTTGTTTTCATTAATGTCAATTTGTTTCTTTCTTTGTTGTTGTCTTTTCGTTTTTCTCCATTACATTAAAGGTCTTTCATCGGGAAGTATCTTTTTGATCGTATTTTCTATCGCTCTGGTTGTGGTTATTGTACTTGTTATTGGTGTGAAGTATTATTACAACAAAGCTGAACAACCCCCTGCTGCTAAAAGGTAAGTGTACAGAAACCAACACACGAAGACTTGTGTGACGCTTTTTTTTCTCTGTTTATAATTCACAGTCATTCCTTCTTTGTTTTTATGTCTGTGATATACCCCCCTCCCTCATAGCAGGAAGCCTTACAACTTGCTAAAATCGTTAAACTTGAGGACAGACGCAATGAACTCTGTGTCAGGACTTTTGATAAAATTACAAAGGCGGGCCCTTGTCAAAACATGTAACCACGATTAGGACTATCGCCCATGACTTATTTCCTTAGAAAGTCTAACTCGTCTTTTAAATGAAAAATCAAGCGTCCTAGGCGAAGCTTCTTCCTTAGTAGTGTCCTTATAATAGCAAACTCACAACCTAGTCCCTAGGCGTTCTCTCTTGCACAATTGTCCGCGCGAAGTCTGAGAAAGAGCGGGCGAGTGTTTCTCGGTGACGTCACAGCTCATGGTAGAGTCCAGGATTGACCTAGGGACTAGGGTGGCAAACTCAATATCTTTTAAAAGTTACTGAAGTGTTGATGCAATTCTTAGTCCGCGATTTGTTGTTAGGTTAGTACAATCTTTAGTAGCTATGATTGAACTTTATTTTTGTATATTATTTTAATTATTATATTGTAAACTCCAGTTTCAAGAAGGTTTTTGTAAATTTTATGTTTTTATTTATTTATTTATTTATAGATTCTTACAATGTACAGGGGAGAGAACAAAAGGACACGTAGTCCCCTACTTGGTTCACCCTCCTAATCCAACCCCATAAAATGTAGAAAAACCAACCCCTTAGCCCAAAAAACTAGAATTAAATATTAATAATATACTATAGATATCAACCTAAGAAGTAGAAATAAAACATGGAAAAGGTAATAAATCGTGGACTACAATGATACTAACAAGAGCAAGCTTTTAGAATATTTACACGGCGACACTTGGGACAAATAATCTTGAAAGAA